TGGCTGAGGCGGGGAAGACGGAAAGAGCGGGCTGGGGTATGGGTGGCATTTGCGATTGGGAAGAGAAGCTAGATTCCCCTTTGGATCCAGTGACTGAGTATCTACAGGAGTGGACAGGGACAGTCTACAGCCGCTTTGCTGCCACCGGGCTCTCTGGGCAGCAGACAACCCGAGCCACTCCCCACTCGTGACTGAGAGGGCAGCAGTGCACCCAGGACACCTCCCACCGCGGCCCCTGGCCTAAGGCCCTGGCAGGCCCCCTAGCCCCCAAACTCCGCTTTGTTTTGAGTGAGAGACTGGCCACTCTGGATCCGCTGCCGGGGCCCTATTTTAGAAGTGAGCTCTGCCAGGCGGCAGGAGTGGAGGGAAGTTTGGAAAAGCGAAGACTGCGGTGTGTCTGGTGGGAAACAGTGCATGTTTAGAGCACTCCCTTCCACTCAGCTGATTCCGACTCCATACTTTCACTGCCCTTGGGCTCGTCTACAAGTCTCTAAGTCAGGAGTGGGAACGTCCGGCCGGCGGGCCATATACGGCCCCCAAAAGCATCTGGTCCGGCCCTGCCAAGGCATTAGGGCTGAGTTATTGGATGTTTGGCCAGATATAGCAGGCTAATTGCTGACAGTTTTGTATGGCCAGCAAATGATGTTATAAATACCCAAACGGCCCTTGGCAGAAAGGAGGTTCCCCATCCTACTCTGAGTTACAGAGTTCATGGGAAACACTTCTTGTCTACGGACACACACAGCGTACATCCCAACGAGACTCAACGGGCCCCTCTCCCCACCCCGAAAAAAAGGCAGTCTCCACCTTCCTTTACTCCACATAGGCTCACTGTGGTTCCTCCTCTAAACTGGTGGGTAATCCGCCAGCTCCCTCGCTTCATTAATGGGCTAAATTAGGGGTGTCGAACTCAATCAGAGAAGGGGCCAAAATCTAAAATCCAGCCTAAATCGCGGGCCGAATGGTTTACTGAACAGTCATAAACTGTCATTGTGATGGAAACGCAGCGGGGTGCAGTGATGACAGCGCGGTGCGGGCCACATTGCAAGGCCTGGCGGGATGGATTTGGCCCGCGGGCCTTGTGTTTGACACATGTGGGCTAAATGAACCATCTGATGTGTGCATACATAGTATTTATATGAGTGATGCTGTTTTGGGGGGGCGGGGATTATCTCTAACAGAGGGCACAGGAAGAACTGCTGACTCAGAGAAGGAAAGACCTGCCATGGCCCCTGCAGAGCAGCTGCTCCCAGCCCCACCCGTGAAACAAGAGGGTCCCTCCCAGCGGCCACCACTTCTTCCCATGTTGGACCACAGCCGTGTGCATCTTAAAAAAGAGAGAAGAAAAACAGAGAGATAAAACTGAAAGAACACACAACGCTCCCCCCACCAACACCGCAGTGAAAGGTTGCTGTGTCCGAAGGATCCACAAACCGGGCCACAACCCTGGGCTCCTGCCAAGGCCCGGCGGGGAGAGGGCTGGGCGGGGGGACCGGCCACAAGGGGAGACGCCGGGCTCATGCTGCCTCAGAGCCCGGATGGAGACAGTTTACTTGGGTGACTTCTTGGCCTTGGGGAACTTCCAGCATGTTTTAGACAAAGATTTTTTCCAGGAAGGTGGAGGGAGGTGTGGGCAAGCATTGTCGGGCCTATGGGCTGGCCTGCCCCCCCCCCCCCTTCTCTCTCTCTCACTGAAACACATATTCTGCCATTTCAGAACATGTGCAGTGCCTGCTTCCAGGCCCTTTTCTCTTTTCCATTCAAAGCTACTTTGACCTAACCCCTTTCTCCTACCAACCACCCCTCCTGGGCCCCTAAGGCTGGCTGTGGCCCCTGCTGGCTGGCTCCCCTGTCCGGCCTCTGCAGACACCCAGGGCCCCTGGGCAGGTGAGGGCCACTGCTCCCTCTGAAGGCTCCAGGGTCAGCTTCCCGCTGTGCTGGTTTCCTGCAGGATCCACTCCAGGCAGGAAGCAACCCTTCTCCCGCCTCCCACCCAGAAAGCGAACAGACCTTGAAGGCCAGGTGCCTGAGGCTCCCATAGACCTCACAGCCCTGCCTGAAGGACAGGGAAGGGGTGTTTATTTCGGCCTGGTTGGGAGCCCAGCGGCGTCACATGGGACCCAGGTGGCCCAGCCCCAGAGGGGGGGAAGGGGGGAGTCGTATCTACGGACAATGCCTCTTCCAGTCGTATCAGCAATAACGCTGGGTATGTGCAGGAAATAATCCGCTCCTGTGTTAGAACGCTTTACCCCCTCATCTCATTTAATCCTCCAAACAACCCCCCTGGGGCATTATTACCCCGTTTTATGGAAAAGGCTCAGAGAGGCGAAATACCTTGTCAAAGGCCACAGGGGTGGCGAGTAAGGTGACCGAGGATAGACACTGCCTTTCAGGGTTACCACGCTCTGTCACTCATACTCACTCACACTCACTCCCGGAGCCCTTGTGAAATCAGGAGAATGCTCTCCATTTTACCAAGGAAGAACTGAGCCCCAGCTTCCGCAGCACAGCACAGGCCCTAACCCAAAGGAGTACCTGGAGCGGAGGAAACGGAGGGTCCTCCATGGCCTCACCCGTCTCCCGAGAGGCAGGCCCAGCACCGGGACTGCCCGCTCCCTCCCCACTCACCTGGCTCCCACGCAAGCAGGCAGTGCCCACCTTCCCTAGGAGCAGGAGAGCCCGGCCATCGGGGCAGGCAGGGATCCGTCTGGACTCCACAGGCCCCGCACAGGGCACGAGGCATTCAGGGCCTGAGGCTTCTCGAGGACACAGGCGCCACCCCCTGGGCCTGCAGCCTGGCCAGCAGGCAGGTGCCAGCTTGTGTCCGCTCAGACTCTGCAGCTCATTCCCTGACCACCTCAGGGTTGCATGGATTTGAGACGTGTCCTTATTACACAGAGGATGCCTCTAAACCACTGTGCTCGTGACCAGCCATCTCCCCAGGCAAAGGCGGAGAGCTTGGGCGCCCTGCCCGCCTGGCTCTGCCTCCCTTTGGAGTCTGCTGCTGTAGGTCACCCCTTAGGCCCAGAATTAGCCTGTATATCGAAGATGCTCAGGGCAATGTCACCAAAGACCAATTATGGTCCAGCCCTGAGTACCCATTCATTACAATATAAGCCCACCCTTCAGAAAGAACTTCTTTAAAAACTGCCCTGACCAGTGTGCTCAATGGTTAGAGGACCGGCCTGCACACAGAAGGGTGGCAGACTCAATTCCCAGTCAAGGGCACTTACTGGTCAGGCGTGTGCATGAAGCAACCAATAGATGTGTCTCTCTTACACTGATATTTCTCTCGCCCTCCTCCCCTCCCTCCCTCCCTTCCACTTTCTCTAAAAAGAAAAAAAGAAAAAAAAATAGATCAATAGGAAAAATACCCTCGAATGAGGATTAACAAAATAATAATAATAATATGTTTTTCTTGCAAACCTTCCTAGGAAGTAATTCCAATAGCAAAATACTATTGGGTTTTGGGTTGTTTTTTTGTTTTGTTTTGTTTTGTTTTTTTTGGGGGGGGTCATATTTTTATTGATTTCAGAGAGAAAGGGGGGGGCGAGAGAGAGAGAGAAACATAAATGATGAGAGGATCATCTATCGGCTGCCTCCTGCACACCCCCCACCAGGGACTGAGGCTGCAACCCATGCATATGCCCTGACCCAGAATCAAACGCGTGACCTCCTGATTCATCAGTGGACGCTCAACCACTGAGCCACACTGGCTGGGTCTACTGGGTTTTTATAACTGCTGGAAAGAGCAAAACATCCACCCACAGAAGTAGAACAGGGGCTGGCGGCCTCCCGGCGTCTGGCCCCTTCCACGGAGCTGCTGCCCTGCCACCCGGCTCAGTGGACGGACACGCACAGGGGCCGGACCACATGCTGCCCACCACAGGCCCCAGGCTGTCCGCGGAGGGCTCCCCTCTGCCCGGGGTGATGGGGACACCGTGGAAGGCACAGCAGATGGGAAACCAGATCCTGCTGGCGCCACCGAGCCACTCAGATCAAACCAAGCCCGAAACTCACCCCACCTCTGGACTTTCCAGTTTCAGGAGCCAAAACCCTCCTCTCATTGTTCAGACCATCTGAACCGGGTTTCTGTTACCTGGGCCGTACGCACTCCCTCCTGGCACAGAGCCGGCGTCGCTCATGTGTGCGGTCAGTCCTGAGGCAGCGTGACCGCGGGCTGCCCCCTGGACTCTGAGCCGAAGGAAGTGAATGAGCTGTAGGACATTCTGTAAACAGCTAGGAGGACAGGGGTGGGTGGGGACCCAGGGCAGCTGGGTGAGGGGTGACCAGACAGCTGCCTCAGCCCTGTGCAGACAGAGCCCGTGCTTGTTGGGACCCCACATGTGTACCCCTTATTCTAGGCTTCTTTTCTGTTCTCACATAACTACTCAGAGTCCAATGAGGTGGCTAAAAATGGCTCCATGCTTAATAAACTAACTGGAAAACAAACCCAGCACTAGACTTCCCGGAGAACCGGGCTGTGGCCTGTGAAGGTCTGTCCTCCAGGTCTGCCTGAATAAACGGGACCCCGGGGCCGGCCAGGAGCTGCTGATGCCCACACCCCAACAGGGAAGGCCAGGGGCCTCCACTTCCCCAGCAGGCGGCTCAGAGGTGCCTGCTGAGGAGGGCCTGCCAGTGACCCCGCCAGAGGCCAGCAGGCACCGGGCCCAACTCCATGCCCCAGCCTCGTAGCCTGGACCATCCTGCCTGGGGCAGGACAGACTGACCCAAACCTAGTTCCAAAGTCAAGTTCTTCCACCGGGCTTCTCGCAGGCAGAGCTAACCGCCAGCTGCCGGTGCCAGCGGTAACCTCCACGGTGGAGAGCCGTCTTAAATCACCCAATACAGCGCGTTTCAGATCGTGCCCACGATGGGTGCCTTCAGCCCCGCCCTCCAGTCTGCCCCGCCACACCCTGCACCCCCGGGTGCCCCGGCAGCTGCGGATCCTGCCTGTGCTGTGTGATGTGACCCAAACAAGAACCACCAGAACCACGGCGTTATTATAAAGATATATTCCATAAAAGAGCTTGGCAGTCAATGAAAAGCATCACACGTCCCAAAACGCAAGCATTCTTCTTCCCCTAGTCTACAGGGAAAATTGTAGAGAAACAAAAAAGGGGGGGGGGGGGGAGAGACATTATAACAGTATCATCAACAAACACCCACCAGCTTCGCCACAGCAGCACGCGTGCCCGCCAGGCGGAGGCGGCCTCAGGCCACCACGGGGACGGAACAGGACCCGGCCCGGAGGAGCAGGAGCCCGAGCCTCGGCCGCCCACCGCTCCTTCGGGCTCCGCACGCATGGCGACTTCATTTCCGAGAGCCAGCCCCGCGCAGCCGGCAGGAGGGCGGCGGGGTGGCCACAGGATCCCGGTCGGGGAGAAAGGAGTCACCTCAGAAGTTACCATCACGATGTCCCGGCTTCTCCCAGCGGCAGCCGGGCGGGCAGAGGCCGCCAGCTCTGCAGGGAGCTCCTCTCGTGTGGCCGGAGGGCCGGGGAACGTGCGGGCGCCCTGGCTGGGCTCCCGGCCTCGCAGGGGAGGGGTCACATTCAGCTTCCAGGTGACAGGTTCAGTAGCACCAAGACCGGAAGACAGTGCGGCCGAGCGGAGGGCAGTGGTGCGGCTGGGGCACCTGGTCTGGGGATGGAGGAGCAGCTGGCGGGCGGGGCTGGCTCTGAGACTCACAGGAACCGGAGGGATGGCTTCAGTCCCAGACACAGTGTAAGGCTGCTCGGGGAGAATGCCCGAGGAAGCAGATGGGAGTGAGAACATTCTGGCCCTTATAAATAAACTATTTACACGCTTTAAAGAAAAGGAAAGCGAGTCCCGGAGAAGAGCCCCGCCTCAGTCCCTCGTGCCTCCCGGGCATGAGCCTCCAGGGCGTGATGCTGAGGAGCCTGGAGCAGCTCTGGGCCGGGCTGGCCGGGAGGGAGGGCAGCAGGCCGGGCTCACCGCACCGCTCCACGCACTGGCTCAGGCTTACTGCGCTTGGACACGGCCGAGGATCCTGCAGACCCTGCCAACCTCCGAGGTCCACCTGTCACCCCGTCCTCCGGGAAGCCCGTTCGTGCTGCTGGTCCCCTACCCAAGTCCCACTCGCAGAGGACACGCCGGCCAAAGGCCAGCACCGACATCAGGAGTGGCGAGGGGCCAGGGGCCTGCAGACACTGGGCTCCAGGAGGCCCCAGCCAGCCTTCCGGCAGCCACAGGAGCCGGTCCCTCGGTCGCCACCTCCACCTACACTGTTCTGTCTCTGGGCTGACCCCGCAGGGAGCCCCGTCACAAGTTCCTTCTGTTCAGAGGGTGAAGAGGAGGCCCTTGGTCTTCAGCACCAGCAAGCAGGGTCAGAGGTCACGCCACGCTGACGCTGAGGACGGTGCTGGCTCTGGCAGGGCGGCCGCTCCGCGCCCTCCGGACACAAAGCTGACATGAAAGGCTCTGGCCTCCACGCGTGGGTGGCTCCTCAGAAGTGATGTCCGGCCTTCACCGCCTCGATGTCTGAGATCAGGGTCTTCGCCAGGAAGATGCCAAATATCTGAAACCAAGGCCGGCAGAGGCAGTAGCCATCAGCGTGGGACACAGGGGGTGTGGGCCCCGTGGGCTGGGCGATGAGGGTGCCGCACACCACAGCCACTCCTGCCCGACACAGGACACAGCAGGAGGAACCGTGGGGCGGGGGGCAAAGCGAGACCAGCCCACAGTGAACAGCGAGCCCCGAGCTGTGTGGCTGCACCCCTGGCCCTGAAGGGGCGAACAGCAGGCACCAGAGGCGAAGGGACATGCTGTGCCCAGGGTTCAACAGAGAAAAAGACAGGCTCCCCCTGATTGGCTCTGATTTGCAAAGAGTGACTCCTGACCGAGCCCTATAAACCTGACTCCACAGAAAGCCAGGGCGGCTCTGAGGCCGACCCCGCGCTGGGAAGGCACGTGGGAAGACGGACGTTCGCCACCGGGAACAGACAAATGTGACCCTGGCCTCCTCAGAAGTTCTACTTTTTATCTCCCCTTTCCCTTCTCGTGGTTTGTATTTGATGAGCTGATTCCTTTGCCCGCTTTGCAAGTAAATATTTTCTTTCCTTTTCTGGACGCTTCTGTCTCCCAGCCTTCCGCTGAGATCAGGCGCCTTGCTGCTGAGGGAGGGAGGTGTGTGTGGGAAGCGGCAGGCGGCCCCACGCCCCCCTCAGACACCTTCCTCAGGGCCAGGCCAGAGCCAGCGCTTTCTAGAAGGTGCGTCTCCAGACCTAACAGCGCGGCAGCCCCTGAGGCTGGCGCCAGAGGCTGCTGGGGGCTGCGACTGCTTGCCCCAGCTCTGGGCACGCCAGGAAAACAGCTCCGACTCCCTGAATCCCTGACTTTCTGCTGCCCGTTCTCCCATCAGACTCTCGCCAGGCTGCTCCCCCCCAATCTCACTGCCCCTGGTCACCACCACCTCCCCCCCCGTGGAGTCTGGGTGAACGGAGCAGGTGCAGCCGCGGGGGCAGGGACAGACCTGGAGCAGGGAGATGGCGATGAAGACGCCGGCCACGATGTAGATGTTCCGCGGCAGCCAGCCCTCCAGCGCCGGGATGCAGCCCTTCGTGAAGATGAACTCGTCCCACTTGCTCTTCAGCTGCAGGAACACAGCACAGACCCCTGAGCCAGGATCTGGACGGGCCCCCTGCACAGGGCCCCCTCGGGGGCAGGAGCGGTGCCCAGGCAGACGGAACCCAGAAGAATGTGGCCTCGGGCAGTTTGTGTCAATAACCTGCCCAGCCTACAGAGCGCCCCGAGGCCTGGCCCGCCTCCCTCCTCACTGCCCCCCGGCCTCCAACCGGCAGCTGGACCGAGTCAGGAGCTCCTGCAGCTGCATCCTGAGCCCCTAAATAACAGACACCCCTGGGCCCCAAGAAATCTCTTAAAATGTAGACTTTGTCGCCGAAGCCGGTTTGGCTCAATGGATGGAGCGTCGGCTTGGGGACTGAAAGGTCCCGGGTTTGATTCCAGTCAAGGGCATGTGCCTTGGTTGCGGGCATATCCCCAGTGGGGGGTGTGCAAGAGGCGGCTGATCGGTGACTCTCTCTCATCGATGTTTCTAACTATATCTCTCTCCCTTCCTCTCTGTACAAAATCAATAAAATATATTTTTTTAAAAAATGTAGACTTTGTCCCCAAACCTTTGTTCTCTTTCCAATAATAGAGCAACTGTGAAGCTCTGTGACTACAGCTCTGGGGGCTTGAAATCACAGCCACTGCTGCTCCGGGCGCGAGCGCGGACCTCCGCCCCCTCCTCCCCCCTCAGGCAGCACCGGAGCTTCCCTCCCTCGCCCCCCCTCTCCAGCTGCACCGCAGCGACCGGGGCTCTCACCTGAGTCCTGACGTCATAGCCACACTGTGTGTTCAACACCTTTTGCTGCAAGAAAAGCAGAAACATCAGTCACTCTTGTTCCCTGAGAAGCTGGTGGTCGAGGCTCTGGAAGAGTCACGGCCAAACACCGCAAACCCCTCACACATCCCAGCACGGGCGCCGTCCTCCCGGGCGAAGGGCACCCGTGCAGCTGTGGCCACGTGGCAGGAAAGCAGCCAGTGACAACAGAAGCACGACGGGCGGCTACCGCTCAGTCCAACTTGGGGTATGGACACGAGATTCAAATTTCACATAATTTTCACGTGTCACAGAATATTATCCTCTTTAAATTTTTCAACTATTGTATTTATAAGCTGCTGAAACACTGTTGACCAGCTTGGCCGGCCCTGTGCTGGGAGCCGGCCCTTCAGCAGGGAGGCGGCCAGCCCTGCGGCAGCACCAGGCCCGTGGTCACCGGACGTCCTGTGAAGGCTTAGCCCCGGCAGACTCTCCCGGCTCCTTCCCAGGTTTCTGACCACCACGGGCTGGGCTGTGGCTGGGAATGAAAGCAGGTGAATGAGGAAGCACAGAGCAGCATGCTCTGCCACCCCAGTGCCACCCACGGCGCCGGAGGGCTTTCTCTAAGGACTGAGCGTTCCCTTGTGGAGGGAGAGGGAAGAGGGCAGACCAGGCTGCATACACCCGGAACATCGTGCCCAGCACCCAGGTCCGAGCCCTCGGGGAGAACAATCCTGGTCTTCTCCTGCTTCTCCCGGAACCTGGAGCCAGTGGGCATGCAGGAGAGTCCGGAATCTACCCGTGCCCGGGGGGGGGGGGGGGGGGGGGGCGAGCCTAGCCCCGTCCGGCTCCAGGGAGCCGCCCCGAGCACACAGCACTCACCGCAGGGTCGGGCACGCAGCAGGAGAAGGGCACGCCGCACTTCTCGCGGCTGTAGCTGGCGCCGCTGCAGTTGAAGTAGACGTTGAGGTCCCAGTCCTCCGGGCTGTACGCCCCGCAGCACTGGTTCTGCAGCAAAGACAGGCTGTGAGGCTCCAGCCGGCCTGGCCGCCAGCACAGGGCGCCTCTCCCTGTCACACACATGGCTAAGCGCACCTCTCCCCGCTGCACCAGGGGAGGGCAGCCCCGGACGTCACGGCACAGAGATGCCGAGCGACGTGCCAGGCAGCCCTTTGCGAAGGGAACTGCAGCCACACCCTGGCTCCCACAGACTGGCTCCGCGTGCCCCGCCTTGGCCCAGGGCAGAAGCCCTGCTCTGGTCCCCCCTCCACCTCAAGCATTCCCTCCCCTCCCACCTCGGCCCACAGCAGGGGTCTCGCTGACCTCGGAGGCCCCTCTGCACACGGGTGAGGTCCTCCTCCTCCTCCTCCTCCCCCACGCAGGCCCACCTACTCCCACAAGAACAGCTACAACTGGGTGAACGGGACACCACCCCGCCACCCTGCCACCCGGGGCAGCTACCAAGAGAACCCCCTTTGCCTGAAAGTGTAAAACTAACCCTGTGGGAAGCACCGTGTCTGGAGGCACCGTCCAGGAGCAGCCCCGTCCCCACCCGGGCCCAGCCGCTGCTGTGGGGTGGCCAGGGCAGGGGTGGCCGTGACCACAGCACACACACCCCCCCCCCACTGCTGGGTTCTTACGTGCTGATAAAGCCCACCTCCCACCCCACCACCGTGACCCCAGCTGCTCTAACGATCACGTGATATTCACCAGGAGGAGGTTTCACGATTCACTGGGAACCTCAGGGACGTTCTACTTTTAAAAGGAAAGGAAGACAAGGGAGAAACGACCATGTTCCAGGCCAGTGGGGGGGAGCCAGCAGCTCGCTCGATGCCATTGAGCGAGAAAATGCAAAGAGGAGACGCGAGGCTGGTGAAAGACACAGTGAGAGGACAGGGAGTGGCTGGGATGGATCCTGTGAGGCAGCCGGGCAGCAGCTGCCCCTGGAGCTCTGCTTGCTGCCCAAGGACAACAAGAAGGAGCTGCGGGAAAGTCGGCCAAGAAACAAAGGCCCAGTGAGCTGCTCTGGGGCAAGGCCAAGAGGAAGCCGTGGTCCAGAGGCCACGTCCGGGACAGTTGACATCCCAGTTTTGTCTGACAGCAGCACAGGACAAACTCTGTAAGGAGCTCCCAGCTATCAGCCTGTGCCCGGCCGCTGTCTCTGAGGCAGAAGAACGTGGCTCCGTGGCCAGGGCAGCCCAGAGGGAGCTCCCAGGACAGGATTCAGCAAACTTGTTTCTGAGCCCAGAGCCAATAACTTACACCAGCAACGCCAGGGGGTGGGGGAGGCCCCGCCGCTGGTGAAGATGCAGGAACAACAGGCCCACAGCTGTACATTTTTACCAACAAAACTTCGTTACATTTAAAAAAGAAAGAAAAGCAAATGGCTGGGCGAGGTGACTTTCACAGACTCACACAGGTAACCCTGCACAAGGAAGGCTCTCTGGTCACATGACCGGGTTTGGCTTTATCCCGAGATCCGTGAAACAAGGCAAACAACACGTGTAGGTAAATAGTAGGAGCAGAGCACAGTTATTTTTAATGCTCCTTGCTCCTTTTCTCCCAGAACTAACGTGTTCCATACAGAAGTGCCTGAGAAGCAGGTTTTCTGGCCGAGCACAGAGCACAGAGCACAGAGCACAGAGCACAGGGGAGCCGCCGCTCACAGGCCAGTGAGGCAGGGAGTGGTCCTCCGTCCAGGCCTCCAGGTAAGTGCACGGCCCGGGGCCAGGCCAGCTAGGGGAAGGCTGGGCTGGGCTGCTGAGGCAATCGCACGCCCCCCCCTCACCGCCCACCTGCTCCCGGTGCATTCCTCTCAGACAGGAAGGGAAAGGGCCCTGGAGGAAGGGCACAGGAATAGCCGGAAAGTGAGTCACGTGTCTGGGGAGGAGAAGCCCTGGCCCTCGGTACCCACAGCGCCCAGGTGGCTGCAGCACCTGCATGGGCAGGGATCGAGCGGTCTGGGCCCCCAGAGGACTGGGCTCCTGGGGGAAGGTGGCCACGGCACAGCTGGACTCGCCTGCCCAAACCAAAGGGGGAGAGGGCACATGAAGAGAAGCCAGGACTGCCCCAGCGCCCACGAGTGGACCAGCGGCAGAGGCGGCCCTCCGACCCGCACGCTCCGGGCTCCTGAGAGCGCACGGATGCCTGCCCGGAAGCGCGCACTCTCGGGGCGCCGCAGCGGACTTACCGCTTTCTGAAGGGAGTCGATGAGGTTCTGCAGGTCAATGTCGTCCCGGTAGGACCTGATGTTGCTCTCGAAGAACTCCCGGAACCGGTCCCTCACCCAGTCCTGGAACAGGAAGGCCAGCACGGCCACGGCCAGCTCGAGGAAGAAGATGAGCACGATGGTGCCGCAGAACTGGGGACGAGACGAGAGCGGGAGTCACCACCCTGCCCTGCGGCCGGCCCTGCCTGGCCTTCCCCACCTGCATCACTAGCTCATCCCTCCCCACACCACGCACTGCTGGTGGGAGAGCCACCGGAGAGATTCTGAGAAAGTCCCAAGCCAACTTGTCAGCCATTTCCTCTGCAGGAAGCCAAGGCTCACACAGGCACACAGGCTGCCTGAGGTCACAGACCTCGCCCAGGGCGGTGAGTTTCCTGGCAGGCTCGGCACCGCTCGGTCGGTAGGTAGGATAATCAACAGCACAAAGCCGGCGCCAGAAGCACAGCGACCCCGGGCCACAGTGCTGGTGGCATTCTGGAAGGGCCCACGTAGGTCCACACGCCTCCCTCCCACCATGTTCACTGGCCTTCCTGAAGCCTAGGACAGAGGGTAAGACGCATGCATGCACATACATACATACACACATGCACACAGGACTTCCAAAATGGATTTTCCCTTCACACAGAAGCAAGATACAAAACATAACGCTTTTAAGAAAAATGAAATTGGGAAAAACCACACGTGTTTTTCTCAGGAAAGTGGAAGCTTGATCTAATGAATTCAACAAATAGCATGTTGTAAAACACAACCCTGGCGTGTCCCCCTCAGGTGCTATTTAACGGAATGCACTTCAAAATAAGAGAGCTTCTAAATATAAAGCTAAACTCTCGTGACTTGTTCCGCCAGCACAAGCACTACCCCCTGGAGGAGGGAAGCGCTTTCCTCACTGACGTCACCGACAGCATCTCCCGCTCGCTCTCAGCCAGGAAGGGCAGAGGGGAGCAGCAAACAAACAATTCCTCTGGAGCTCGGGGAGGAAGATAAAAGGCAAGAGGGGAGGAGGTGCCGCAGACTCGTCCCCTGGGAGCTGAGAGCGTGGGGCCAACTTCTCTCCCCGGAGGAGGAGCCTGCTCCGCGGATTGTGTCCTGGAATCTCACCACCTGGGGCGGCTGGAAGAGCTGCTGCCAGCGCCCCCCCGGTAAGGAAAAGCCTGCCGGCGGAGCCCCCACACCCCCCTGCCCCGGGGCCACTCACAAACTTGAGCAGGCAGATGTTCTCCCGCAGGGCGCCCACGCAGCCGGCGAACCCCAGCGTGAACATGACCACGCCCACCACCAGCACCAGTACCACCGGGTCGATCCCATGCAGCCGGGTCACTTTGGTGAGGTCGGACAGCACGCCCTGAAAGAAGCAGAGAGCAGGGCGGGGTCAGCCTAAAGACAGTCCTGGTGTGGCAGGCTGGGCTGTGTACGGAACGGAGTGAGGACAGGCTCCTGCCTTGCAAGCCGGGGAGCGTGCGGCCCTGCCCTCCTGCCCCTAGAGGCCTCTCTGCCCAGCAGATCCCTGCCCACCTCAGCCCCTGGTCTCCGTCCAGGCCTGGGTGAGGGGAGCCCTGGGGGGCCCTGGGACCTGTGGTCAGGTCACCCGGAGCCGGAGCCTCGCCCTGGCCTCCACATCTGGCAACTGACTGCACTCAACTGACGGAGAACCCACTGTGCTGAGAGGAAGGGGGCTTCGGCGTGGAAACACGAGCAAGGCCAGGAAGGCAGCTGTCCCTGGAGCTCTGTGGTCCACATGGCAGCACTGGTCACTAATGCCACCGAGCACCTGAAACACGGCCAGGGGAACTGAAGAAATGAATTTCAACTTGTATTTTATTTTAACTAATTTAAATATAAAATCACATGAGATTACTGGCAACCAAAACAGACACAGCAATTCTGTGGGATTCTAAGGAGGAAGGAGAAAACAGCAGCCGGACCAGGCCACCCAGCGGGAACCGGGCAGCTGGGCAACCAGGCCTAAGCGCCAGGCTCTGCTGTTTGAGCTGCTGCTGTTCCGGAGGTGGCCACACGGTGGCGCTGTGGGCTATGGCTTGCACCTGCTTCCAGGCCACCAGGACAAAGGGACAGTGCACCTCAGCTCCCGCCTGCCCTTTAGGGGTTCACAGGCCACCATGAAGGGGTCCAAACCCAAAGGCGGGCTTTTCCAGTTCCTAAGGCAAGAAAGCCCTCCGATCCTCCTACCTCCACCTTCTAGAGGCTCCACTGAGGAAAGAGAGCCCTGTTCCCACTGTTCCCTGCCGGCCTGCGGGGCCTTGTTCCTTCTCTCCCCTGCTTCAGCTCTCACCATCTCCCAAAACCCGCCCGCCCACAGAGCAAAAGGTCCCCAGAGTTCCCACTGCCCTGCCCTGGAGAGTCAGAGCCTGTCTCTCACCTGCCTCCACGGGCTGCGCAAGAAGGCGCACAAGGCCCAGGACCCCCTGCCCACAGGGCCGGTAGCAGAGCCCTGCTCCCCGGTTTGAAGTCTTTCTGGGGGAGGACAGACACAGACACCTCCTGCTCCCAGAGGCTCCGACCTGCCGGACACAGCTGCCAACCACCCAGGGTGACTGGGAGCTTCGGGAACAGGAAAAGGACTCTCCACACTCACAGGGCTCAAGACCCGGCCCCCAGCCCAGCCCCTGCCCACTCCAGGCTCCGGACCCACACACCCGCCTCCATCCAAGAACTCCCTAAAGATAGATGACTGCAAATCACGGCCTGGCACAGAAATGCCTGTCGGGGAGGAGGGGACCGTGGACACTGAGCCAGCCTGGCACTGGCTGCCGATGCTCAGGGTCCCAGTGACAGCCACACTCACCTTTTCGCTCCATGCCCACAGTCCGGCTCCGAGGAAGGCAACTCCAGCCAACTGAGCAGGGGTGGGGGGGAGGGCAGGGAGAGAGAGGGAGAGAGTTAGGTTGGAAGACAGCACCATGAAACATGAACGGACTTCTCAGAGTACCATGAATGGACTCTCCATATGGCCAGCAGGAGTGGCAATGGCTCATGTCCATCCTGGTGGATCAGGGCCCCTGGGCCCTGCAGATGACAGGGTGTGGACCCCAGAACAAGGCTCTGATAACCCACAGCTACCTTCCCTGAGCATTTAAGCAAACTCCTTCAGCCCCCAGCTCCACTCGGAGGCAGAGGTCCCAGAACACACTGCCCGGCCAATACACTAGTCAGAGCCAGCGGGCCACGGCTGCTGACTCCATTCCACAAGCACCCCCATCCCACAAGCACCCTATTTCAGTGCGGTCTGGGTTACGACATCGCCCAGGTGTCCCCACAGGCTCCGTGCAGCACAGCCTGGCACCAGCCCACCTGGCTCCGGCCTCAGGCCTCAGGCCTGGACAGACTCAAGCAGCTTTCTCGCCTCTCCCCTACTCCCCCAAACCCTCTCCCCCAGCCCCCGCACACGCGTGCTCGGGATATGCTGGGGCCTTCATTACTGTTAAAATAGGCCTGAGCTAAGCCACCTGCAGGAACCCACTGGGGTCAGGCTGCCTCAGGTGTACCCCCGCCCCCAACATCCACAGATTCCTGAACGGGGAGGGCTTTCCCACGGGAAACACCCCTCCTGGCCGCAGTTATCAGCCTCCTGCTTGCTGTCTCACTCCTCACACCGCCCGGCATTCGCTGCCATCCCCCAGGTCCTCGTGGGAAAGAACAGAGCGAGGGGTGTCCGTGGCTCTCAGCTCTCCCACGTGGGTCCTCCCGCCTCGGGACGGCCTGACCACGCCGCCCACGCCCGCCTGGGAGGGAAGAGAGGCCCGGAGAGCAGCCCTGGCTGTCTGGGCAGCACAGGCGGTTTCAGAAAGCGTGGGCATGCCTCCTCACGGTGGCTCCCGCACAGCCTGTGGCCCCAGTGAGGAAGCCGTGCGGGACCATCCCGCCATCTCACTGAGGGGAGCACGGGCCATGCAGAATGCCAATGGGGGGCGGAGGGGGCGCACAGCCTCCTCCGCCCCCCAGTCTCAGGTGGTAAGTGAGCCTGAAGGTGAGTGTCACTGCCCATGGGCCTGGAGGCTCCCCGCCCCCCGCACCCCAAGTCCCGGGGTCTCACTCCCTCCTGCCACCGCTGGGCGTGGAGGCTCTCCCCTCATCTGGTCTCCAAGGAGCTGTCATTCCGTCTCCACAGATCACTCAGCTTTGGGCCACGAGGCACATTCCCAGGCATCGTCCCCTGTCACCACTCCTCCTCCTCCTCCTCCTCCTCCTCCTCCTCCTCCTCCTCCCCCTCCTCCTCCTCCTCCCCCTCCCTCCCTCCTCCTTCTCCTCCTCCCCCCCTCCCTTCTCCTCCTCCTCCTTCTCCCCCTTCCCTCCCTCCTCCTTCTCCTCCTCCTCCCTCTTCCCCTCCTCCTCCTTCTCCTACTTCTCCTCCTCCTCCCCCTCCCTCCTCCTTCTTCTCCTCCTCCCTCCCTCCTCTTAACCTCCCTCCCTCTTCCCCCCTCCCTCCTCCTCCTGCTTCTTCCTCCTCCCTCCTCCCTCCTCCTCCTCCCCCCCCCTCCCTCCTCCTCCTCCTCCCCCCCTCCCTCCTCCTCCTGCTCCTTCCTCCTCTTCCCTCCCTTCCCCTCCTCCTCACCTTCCCCCCCTCCTCCCCCCCTCCTCCTCCTCCTCTCTTCCTCCTCCTCCCCCTCCTCCCCTCCTCCTCCTCTCCTTCCTTCCCCCCCTCCTCCCCCTCCTCCTCCTCCCCCTCCTCCTCCCTCCTCCTCTTCCTTCCTTCCTCCTCCTCCCCCTCCCCCCCCTCCTCCTCCTCTTCCTTCCTTCCCCCCCTCCTCCCCCTCCTCCTCCTCCTCCTCCTCCCCCTCCTCCCCCTCAGAGCTCTCTAAAGTCTGGCGATCCTCCCGCGCAGGCCTGCCCCGGCCCAGCTCTCTGGATGAGGTTCCGGGCTTCCATCCCCTCCACATTGCACACCGCTGACCCACACCCCCGGCTCAGCCACAGCTGCTCCAAGTCAGACCTCAGCATCTACTTGCCTCATCACCTGAGCGCTCGAAGGAGTCATCAATCTGCACATGCCCCCAACTGGACCCTCGCCCCCCTCCCACCCCCATCTAGCTCCTCTACAACTTAGCCCTCGTTACATCACGGCACCTACTCAGCGGCTAAGACAGAAAGCCTGGCCGCATGCTTGGTGCCTCTTTCCCTCCAAGTCCCTCCTTCCAGCCCTCCACTGGTTCTCCCTCCAGCATCCGTGGCCAGTTCTCCTCCTGCCTCTGCTGCCACCTGCCCATGCTCCACCTGGGCCTCCTCACAGGACCCCAAGCAACGACAATGATCTTTACAAGCACAGAGCACACGGCTCCGTACCCTGCAATGGCTTCCGTCACCACTCACTCAGAACGAAAGTCAAACCCCTCGACACAGCCCACGAGGACCACCAGGGCCAAGCCCATCCTCACCCTCCTCCCACCTCCTCCTCCCCCGTGTCCCGCACCCGTGCCCCCTCCCCACTCCACCCCAGGCCACGCTGGCACCGGTACCAGTTCTGACTTCTGCCCGTCTCACGGCCGCTTTCCTTGGCCTCGAATGTCCTTCTTCCCTCTCCCCCCACCCTGGCCCATCCCTCCGTTCACCCAGGCTCTCCCAGGTCCCCTTCTCAGGAGCCTCCTTTCCTGGCCCCCGATCCTGACACCTCCGTGCTTGCTTTCCTCGCCGTCAGCCAAGACCGCAGGAGCTACCTGGCTCGTCTCTCCCGTTTAAGCTCTCTGGGCAGAGGTTTTCCGTTTGTTCAGGGTTGTACCCCAAGAGCTTGGCGAGGACTTGGCCTTGTAGGTATAGAGCAGGTGTGAGCGTGAGAGTCGCCAGAGCCCGGAACGGAGCAGCCTGCCCTGGTCCTGCTGCTCCCTCCCAGCACACTCCGGGTCTAGCTCAGTCTGCATGCACCCCAAGCAGGGGCGGGCCAGGCAAAGGCCCAGCCAGCCGGGTCCGAGGCCGGCCCCATACGGGGACGTAGGGTCAGAGCAGGTTAGGCCTGGAGGCTGTCATCCGATCCCCTCCAGCGGCCCCCGCAAGCACCCAGCCTACCCAGCTGGCACCACGGGAGACGGCGAGGAAAGCCCACCCTCCACCCTCTGGGCCCAGTGACTGCGGCGCCCCCTCTCCTCTCCGGGCTGTGCTCGCAGACCAAGGGCCGGCGCTTCCTGCCACTCGGCTTACAGGAAGGACTCACGTGAACCTGCACCAGGAAGGCCGGAGCGGGGTCACATGTCAGACCCGGGTTTAAGGAATGCTGACCCGGCAGACAGTCTGGGCCCAGCACTGCCTTTGAGACGAGCTGGCTGAGGAGGGCCAGACGGGAAGTGGCCTGTCTGGGAGCTCACGGGGCAGCCCTGTGACCGCCAGGCTCGCCGCAAACTCTCGTCCCGATGGTCGGTGGGGCTGGGCATGCTCACGGGAGAGCCGGTTCGCCGGCCTCCGCTTCGGAGCAGCCCTCCCGTCCCTCTTCCAAACCCTGAGGCCGCGTCTCCCAGACACTGAGGCCCGCTCCCCCGCCCGAAGGCAGGGCGCGGGCGCACCGCAGTGTCACAGGGCAAGTAGCGCCAGCCTCCCCTCTCCCCTCGGTGTCAGGCCCCCGTTAATCACTGAGCACCCGAGAGGCCCTTCCATAACCATCACACGGGCACTGTTACCCCCACCGTTCAAACATGGAAACTGAGGTGCAGAATGACTTGGTTATTTGTCCAAAGTCACCCGGCTGGCTGGCTGGCTGGCGGCTATGAGGTAAGGCCAGGCCTGAGTTCCCGCATCCCTTCTCTCTGGCCAAACGGAGGGGCCGGTCAAGGGGCCAGGGGTGAGGCCGTTTCTCAAGGGGCTTCTGAGCTGTGCGACTCTAAAGCCGAGGACCCCACTGTCCGCCGGGTGGTGGGATCGCTGAGTCCCAGCCAGGGCTGATGCCTCCTGGGAGGGAGGGGGTGCCCTGTAGAGGTCCCGCCTCAGCCTTCCCGCCAGAGACAAAGGCCCCGCCTGCCCGGTCAGGGGTGCCGCACAGACCCACCCGCCGTGCTAGCTGTGCTGCTGTGCCCCAGAGGCTCCTGCCCAGCCGGCCTGCTGGGTGCAGGTCCCCAAACCACGCGTGTCAGAGCAGCCCCTCTCCTGCCAGTGTAGTGAGGTTCCTTATGAAATTTCATTCCAGTGTATGGCCATACTTAGGCCTCTCCTGTGGGCCCAGAGGGCCTTGCTCAACCCGCTGGAGGCAACCCCCGGCCTCTGGCGCTGACACTCATAAAGCCCTTCCTTCCGGGGGCCTGGAGAAAACCAGAAGTAACCCCAAGAAAGGGAAGGTTGAACCAACACCAAGCAAGCAGCACAGGGCAGGGTCCTGGTTCTCCACCCCCCTCTCTCCACCCTCCGCCTTCCACCCTCTGCCTCTGCCCTCATCCTCCGCCCTACAGCTTCCTAGAGACGGGACCTGTGTGGGGACCTGCGTGGGGACCGTGGGAGTCGGGGAGGCCCTAGGCCTGCTTCCCTCCCTGGGTCACAGAGAGCGGAGGACTGAGGCGAGTGTCACAGGTGATGTACGTAAGCCTGGGGCACGGCGCCATCTGAGCCGCCCGGACTCCTGGGGGACAGAGCAGAGGCACGCAGGGGCAGATCCACGGACAGGAAACATACCTGCCCCCTCCTCGCCCCTGCACTGCCCAAGAAAACTCCCCGCACGAGGCTTCATCCTAAGGCAAGGTCCTTCCCTCCAGAGGCATCTGTCTCTTAGGTCTCCGGAGACAATAGCACATCAGAGTTGAGGGGAACAGCCTTCTGGGGTTTCCCAAGGGGGACAGGAAAGACTGATGGGAAGGAAAGGGGTGGGGGGAGAAGCTAGCACAGTCACCTCTGTCCCTAACTCACCGTGGCCTTGAGCAAGCCACC